TAGAACAAAAGAAACACAATAAAAATATTCTCAACAAAGTATGTACTAATATCTTAAACTTGTCAAAACAGAGAGTTACATACAACAATATATTATATTATGTTTGGTGCACAATAATTAAACTAGTGAATTACCGTTATAAATTAAAGAATCAATTGCACACTAAGAAAATAATAATTTCAATTACACTAAAATAAAACTGCTCACTATCACCACCCCTTTTTCAATTTCCATGTGAACCCAAAATATTTCACACACAAAACAAAATAAATTAAAAGCTTATGTAATAACCAAAGCAGTTAGCATAATCATAAATCAAATATAAAATAAGTTTCACATACAAAAGAAAGTATATATAGTCATAGTGAAAAAAATAAATACACAGTGACAATAATATGAATCATTCAGCTTGTTCACAAGTAAAATTATCCTTCTATTTATAGTTTCTTAAGAAGTGTGCAAAGTCAATAGTGGACAAATATTATTGCACAGAAGAGATATTAGTTGATTGTTTATTTTAAATTGAGGGCGAGAATTCAATTTTCATCTTGTAGTTTTTTATCCTATTTTTTCTTCTTCACCTCCATTTTTTTTTTTCAAAACAAGAGAAAGAAATGAGAAAATGGATAACGTGATTATAAAATAATTAATCCGATCAATCAATTGAGTTATTAAAAAATATTTGGTATAAAATATTAGAAAATTATATTTCTATTATATAGAAGAGCCGTGGAAGGACGATCATGGCAATGAAGAGTTGTACAATGAACAATACAAATTATATTATGTACTTTGCCTTGTCTTAATCCCTCACCAATAACCTTTAAACATGTGTAACAATGTGGACCCATTCTCTTTACATCATTACAATTGTACTATCTATTATAAATTTTAAATGTTTAACAATTATCAACTCCATTCATATTTTGTTCACCCCATTTATTATTCAATCTTCACTATATTTTTTACATGCCCTATATTTAGTCCTCACAATTTAAAATCAAGTTAGCTTTTTTAATAGTACAATTTCAAAAATGTTTTTAACTATATAAATAATCTTTTTGGTAATTTCAGAATTCAAATGTTCAAAAAAAAAAATTTAAACAATAAAATGGAATTTTTATTACTCCCGTTATTCTTAAATACTTATCATAATTTTGTTTTGGAAAGTCAAACAATGTAATTTTTTATAAATTACCAATTAATTCTCAATACTACTATCCTCTTGTCTCAAATAAGAAGGGGGAATTAATTTCTTTTAAGCAAATTATCTCCTTTTTGAAATATTAATAAATTTCATGAACATACTATATGACAAATTTAAATTTCAAAATTATTTATATGTAGCTGTAATTCATAAAAAGTAAAAGATTATTAAAAGATTTATCAATTGAATCTAGACAGAAACTTACAAAGCATAACTTATGCTTTGAAACTACGTATAATATCTTTTATTAGAGACATAAATGACACAAATACTTTTAAATATGAATCATCTCACCATGATCAAAAAATTTAAAACAAATTTTTATCATACCAAAAAAGTAAAAATATTTTTATCATAAAGATAGATAAAATAAATGTAATTTTATCCGAATTTTTGTTATTTTGTTATAAACAAAAATATTTAAATGAAATTGTAGTTGTGCGAGTTAGATATAGAATTTTAATATTATTTAATAAAATAAATTTATGACTTGACTTTATATATTAATAGTCCATTAAATTTGTCAATAAATTTCATTTTGATACTAAATCTACGGCTTATTCCGATGGAACATCTAAACACTTCACACATTTAATGTTCAAATTTTGAAAGAAAAAACTATGTGTGCGTGATTACAAATGCTTATTAGATCGTTATGTTAACCACATAAACATGTCATCTCAGTTAATTATATCTACATCCACCAAATCAGAACATACTTGAGGCTTACCCTTTTTTATATGAGCTGAGATACATAAAATTAAAGAAGATGACATATTTTATATCCAACATATATTTGTCATTTAATTTAATGTTAATATCTAACATAATGTTAAAATGAATATTAGATTACGTATTTAATATTAGTCGAGATAACTTATATAAGTTATAAGTTATTTTTTAATTTTATAAAAATAAAAAAAGTACTTCAAAGTGTAATGCCCATTATTACTCTTTAATTTATTTACGTGAAAATATTGAAAATTAATTTATTATTTAAGAATATGATTAATTACGTATAAATACAACTTAAGACAGTAATGTTGGTCCCGTTAACGAGCCTTTTCATATCTAGTCTAGTATATATATAAAAGAGAGCTCTAGGCCCGTCTACGTGGCGCCACCACAAATAAAAATTTCCGTTTAATTTATTTATTTCCAAAATTAGTCTTTCCCTTTCATGAAAAGTTGTGACTTTTATGAAAAGTTGTGACTTTTATTGAAAACTTGTGACTTTTATAAAGAGTTGCAACTTTTATGAAAGGTTGTAACATTTACGAAAGGCTGTGACCTTTCCGAAAAATTGTGACTTTTCCAAAGAGTTGTGACCTTTCCGGTAAGGCACAATAAACATTTGTTCACACTACCATTTGTTGTCTATAAATAGAGGGGTTTCCTCTCATTTTAAAATAATTAAAATTCTGAACTTCTTCTTCTTCTTCTGCACAGTTAAATATTTGATTCTGAACTTCTTCTTCTTCTTCTGCACAATTAAATATTTGGGTACTTTGCTCCTGTTGAGTGACTCACTGACAAGGAGACACTGTGCATTCAGTGTGCTCGATTTTCCTTTCTATTTCATTCTATTATTACAGATCCTGATATTTTTTTACGTTTATTAATGTAGGCTTATGATATTAATTGTTATTTTTTAGTACATGTTTTAAACTTTGTTGTTTCTGTAAAGTTATTGTTATAAGTATTTGTTAGTGCAGACTATTTGTAAATACAACTATTGCAGATTCACAAATAACTTTTTACAGAATACATTTATTTACAACATACTCCAAAGAAATCTTTTCTTCTCCAAGAGATCAAGCCTAAAAATTTATATGATTTTTTGTTGTTGCCATAATAATGTTAATATTAATAGGAGTAAAAAAAATAGAAAGTCAAATTATAGAATTAAAACTAGTAATTAATTATAATTTTATGATACACAATGATGACTATTCTCTCATACCAAAGTACTTTTTTGAACTTTTTTTCCATTATCCCTTACTTCTCTTTCATCCTTTTCAAGGATCATTAATGTTTTGTTTGTGCACAACTTTAATTCCAAAACACTATCATAACTATATTACATATGAAATTTGAATTTTGGAAGATTGCATTTCAATTTTAAAACACATAATGACTACATATAACTTATATGTATATCATATGATTATGGGACCTTTGCTCTTGATAAACACATTAGTTATATATATATATATTTTAAAAATATTTAATATTTTGAAAGTAATTGATAATGTTATATTAACGAAATTTGAAAAGAAGAAAATTGAGAAAAATATTTATTTGACTCTCTAATTAAAGACACTATGTACACTAAATGAAATGTAAACTAAGAGAAAATAGTGTTATGATTTGTAATTTTACCTTTTCTTTTAATAAAACAAATGGTAAACTAGAATTGAATAATCTCTATACTCTTAAAAATAGAGTTATACAAAAATAATATAACATCAAAATACCAAAAAAATTCTATTCTAATAAATTTTAAAGAAGAATGTTCTAACCGCGCGAAGTGTGGGCCCATTTACTAGTCATATATATATATATATAAAAGAGAGCATTAGGCCCGCCTACGTGGCGCCACCACAAACAAGAATTCTCTTTTAATTTATTTATTTACAAAATTAACCTTCCCTTTCATGAAAGTTGTGATTTTTATGAAAAGTTGCTACTTTGATGAAAAATTGCGACTTTTATGTGAAAAGTTATGACTTTTATGAAAGGTTGTGACCTTTCCGAAGGGTTGCAACTTTTCCAAATAGTTGTAACCTTTCTGATAAGGCACAATAAACATTTATTCACACTACCCTTTGTTGTCTATAAATAGAGGGATTTCCTCTCATTTAAACACAATGGAAATTCTGAACCTCCTCTTCTTCTTCTTCTTCTTCTTCTTCTTCTTCTTCTTCTTCTTTTTCTTCTTCACAATTAAATATTTGTATACTTTACTCATGTTGAGTGGTTCACTGAAACTATTGCTTATGTTACATAACTGGTATGTATTCTTACAATCATTAATTTATAATTTATGCTTATGTTATTAAGGCTAAATGATAAGATATAGTAATTTTTCATTTTCCCTTTTACATTATTAATGTTTGTTACTACATAATCTTATATCTTAGATAATATAGTGTTTTAATTTTAATGCCGGATAGATTTTAAGTATTATTTTATAAATTCCGTGATATTAAATTCTCGTGCGAAGCACGGATAATTTTACTAGTTAATAATAAAGAACGACATAGTATATACTTGTCTCGTTCACCCCCCCCCGCCCCCCAGCACACACACATATATATATAATATACGTAGAAATCACTAAAATTATAAAAATAATATATTTTTCAATGTATAATTTTAAAAACATATAGCAATATATGTAAATTAAATTAAGTACTCCATTATAAATATATCAAATTTCATTTCCATCTTCTCTACTTGTAGTGCACAGTTATGGCGAAAGAGTAGAGAAAGGTGAAATTCCATTGTTGAAACGCCATTTACACAATCTCAAAGCTTTTTTTTTCTTCTGATTCATACATAGGTTTTCAAAAATGGAAGCAGCAGCTGTTTCAGTTGTAGACAAGTTAAAATCCTTTGCAAAATCTACGCAGGATTTCGCTTCCGTCGTGTTCCGCAACCGCGAAGTTTCCAATCGCCGCAATCCGGTAAATTAACTTTGTATTTTCTTTTTCCGGTCATTGTATAGAGATCCATTTGCGGATAGATTGTTAGAAGTAAAATTTTGGCCTACAATGTGGCCTATTGTCAATGAAGACTAGGTGATTTCTTGCTATTTGTCTTAGTCTTGATGGTTAGAGTTAACTGGTGCTTATTGCTTGTGTGAGTTGTTAGACAAGAACACTAGTGATTTCTTGCTATTGGTTTTATTCTTGGTGGATAGAGTTACATGGTGTGTTGCTTGTGTGAGTTGTTAAACAAAGACACTAGTGATTTCTTGTTATCTGTTCTAGCTTTGGTGGATTGCTTGTGTGAGTTGTTACGAAAACATTATTGATTTCTTGTTATCTGTTCTATCTTTGATGGACAAATTTACTGATGCTTGTTGTTTGTGTGAGTTGTTAGACAAAAAATACTAGTGATTTCTTGCTATCTGTCTTAGTCTTGGTGGATAGAGTTACCTGGTGTTTGTTGCTTGTGTGAGGTATTAGGTATCTTGTGGAACTAGTTGAGCTGCTTGAAAGTTGGCTACGATTATCAAAAGAGATAATATAGAGACCCATTTGTTCCTAATATGTATTGTTAAAAGTAAAATTTTGGTGTCTCATTAAGATTGTTTAATTTTATTTAATTTGGAGGTTGAAAATTAGGGTGGAAGTTTAGTAGGTAGTTGAGAGTTTAATAGTTTTTCTTATAAGATTTATTATCCGTACTCTCATACTATCTTATTTTTCGATTTGATTATTACTTGTTATTTCCTTTGCTTCGGCTATCTATTTGTTGTTTCTATTGTTTTGTTCTCCAGTATTTTTGACTTAGCTTCTTCACTGCTGTATTTCCTTTTGATAACTGATTTGATATGTTTTATTCAAACCGGGGGTCTATAGGAAACAACCTTTACCCAAGGGAGAGGGGTAAGCTGTGTATACACTACCCTCCCTAGATCCCAATCGTGTGATTACACTGGGTATGTTGTTGTTGTTTTCAAGTATTAGTTCGGATACATTTCATTTTTTCCCTATACAAGCTGATTGCCAGTCATTATATAAAAACCTATTTGCTCTAGTATGCGTTGTTAAGTAGTAACATTGTGGTGTCTCATTAAGGTTATTTAAGTTTCATTGCATTTTGTTTTCAAGTAGTAGTTTGATAATTTTGATTTTTTTTCACCTGTTGAAGCCAATTGACCTATAGAATATGAGTAAAGAAAGTAGAAAGAGACTTATGATATGCTGGTTTTGTTCAGCGGAATGGATTACTTCTATGGGCTTTATCGGTTTTTGGTATTTTTGGATATTATGAGGTTACATCTCTGTTGTGATGGACACTAGATGTTCTTTTTGTTTTGTTTCTTTTAACAATGGTATTTAGAGGTTCCTTGACTAACAATGGTATTGATTAGCTTTGTCCCCAAATATTTAGGTTGATGGAAAGAATTTACGTAGTTTTGCATATGTTATGATTAGGATTGGAACGTTGATTCCCTAGATTGTTAAAAAGAGGAAGGTTGAGGGACTTGTTCTTAGGTCACAGATTCGAGTCCTGTGCCAAGTGAACTAACTACTAAGTCCTGTAATTAAGTTGAGAAGGATAGAGACTATAGGGGAAAATCCATCATCCCCAAGTTGTGAAGGCTATGGTGTTGGCCCAAAGGGCTGGCTCCTTGTGAAGTTCACAGTCATAAAAGAAAATTGTTAAAATGGCTCTGTGACTTCTAGGCCACCCTACTGGGACAGGTTTGATAGATGTTTTGGGAAAAAGGAGAACACCATTGGATCACCTATATATTATATTCAAATCTTCCCAACTTAGGATCCTAAAAGAATGTACAGTAAGAGTTATATAGAGTGAGGGATCCAAGCAAGTATGAAATTGAACATTTCTTCAAGATAACAGCTACTCCTTCATGTGAATCTTATTTGAAGCAAATGAATAGCTAAAGGGAGAGCAGTAAAAGTTATGAAAATGTTATTTCTTATGTGAGAATGGTAGTTTTGGCTCTTTTTAGAAGGTCAGGGAAATGTGAGACTGTTCACATCCCTACTTTTGTCTATTGATCTAAAGTGGGTATATCGGTTACCTGTCATGCAACGTTCAACTGCGGAACAGTGTCATTAGGAAGTACTCAGAGCTTGAGCAGTCAAATTCTTACTTTGCCAGCTACCACAAGCTTTGTTATTGGGCTCTGCTTTACTCTGATGGGTCTCTTAAGTATGAGAAGGCTCTGGCTGTGTACCCTAACCTCATCTAGTTTCTGCCAGTTCGTCTATTTTTTCCCATCTTTTCCTATCTTTTCCATTGTCGCTAGATCAAAGTCTTTTATGTTTACTATCTGCTGTATGACGATGCCTGTATTATGTGGCTTCCCAGGAAATAATATTGAAAAAAGAGATATCCATATGTAAGAGAAAAATATCTTTTAATTATCCTTTTACTTATCGAAAGAAAAAAAAGATACTTATCCAAATTTATTTTGACATAGTTCGATTGGGATTTGTCACTCTCATTAGCTGTAGGATATCACTGTTTCCCAACTCCACTCCCCTCGGCAAGCTTTAGTTTGACATATTTGCCAATGATGGTGCTTTACAACTCTTCCAATAATATTATTTACAGATTGAGATCTTGAAGAGATTGCAGCGAGAATCTTTTTCAGATATTATGAAGCTAAGAGACAGACAAGAGAAGTTGGAGCGAGTGCTTGCATTCGATAAATCTTCTAAAGGAAGTCCATTCCAAGAAACCAGCACTCACGTAAGAGGAGAATTTGATGTTGTGGGTGCACTGTTGATGATCGGTACTGTTGATAATTCCAAGCGCAATGCAATTGAAAGAGCCATTAGGACTGGTATTGATTCTAGGCTGACTTTTGAAACAACTATCCGTGAAAAGGATACAATTGTAGCAGAGTTTGTTGGCAGCGAAAGAGGCCAAATGAATATCCTGGGTAGTCCACTTTCCTTAGCAAAAGTTCTTTATGCAGCAAATATCAGTGATTGGTGTTCTGCAGTTGCCATTCCAGTCGGTGGTCGATGCAGAGATGTTGCAGTACCTACAAGTTCACGTGAGGTAAATGCTTCTGAATACTGAATGTGCTTTCTTATTTGTGATCATAGTTATCAATTCCATGTTCGATTCTTTTTGGTATTGTCAGTACCAGCAAGAAGTAGCAAAAGTAATAAGGTCAAAAGTTTTGTTACCAGCCTCCCAAAAAAAGGTTAGGTCAAAATTCCTGTAAAATGAAGTTGCAGATGTACTCACCAAAACCAAAAGAAAATATCGAGTTGCAGATCTGTGGTGCAAAAGTTCTCGCACTTATTAGGAATGAGGAATGACAAGAAATCAACAGGTTGACAAGGAAGATTCTGTTGGGGGAGGGAGGTCATAACATGGTTGTTGGCTTGTTGCATAGTGTATTTACTTGTTATATTACATCTTTCAGTTGTCTTTCCATGTAGCTTCATGTAAAAGCAAGGTAAGTAATTTGACAAGGAAGATCCCATGGGGAGTCATTAGTTGGTTGTTGCAGATGTTGCATATTGTATATACGTGTTATATTACAGCATTTTTAGTTGCCTTAATGTGTAGCCTAGAATAACAATTTTTGGGGGGGATTTTTGCAGGAAAGGGGGATGACTGACTATTCATCTTTTGGTCCGCCCCTGCTGAATCAACTAAATGGTAGTGGAATCGCTGTGATGGTTAAAAAATCAAATACTGTTGCCTCCTTGGCTCAGTTTGTCTCTGCATTGCCACACTCTGGTAGTCTTTTGTATTGTTTTGGCACTTTTGGTCAAGTTGTTTGCCAACTTTCAAGCAATACAAAACTATCAATCTTGGGCATACACAAAATGGCCAATCTGTCGAGACCACAGCCTAGACTCGCAGCTATGTCGTTGCCTTTCAGTTTTTTACAACGGTCAGGGCATCCTCAAGCGTCCTTGGTGGAAAACAGCATCTTAGATGGGTCACTTGCCATGACCCTAGAGTCAGAACTTGATGAAAGTACAAAAATTGGTGGCTGGGTAGAGATAAAAAGAGCAAATTTGCAGTGGGCAGTTACCATGTCTGATACCTCTGAGGATGATTTTGGATGGGGTTTGAGCCTTGGTGGTTTGCTACAAGGTCCAAGAAATATGGACCATTTTCAAGTTGAGAGCTTTCTCAATTTCAACGTAGGAAAGAAGTGCAAGTTGCAACCAGGTCTACTCTATGTGATCGATGGAGCCACTCAGTTTCCTGCATTGATGTTCCGCACTAGTTGGTCCTTGTGAAGTGTGCAAGCTAGCTCAGACACCCCGGCTGGACATAAAAAAAACACTCCCGTGAACAATCTGACTCTCCCCTTATAATAGAAACACCCTTTAGCAACTCCCACACAAAATAGAAAGGAAGAGAAACATTTTGTCTACTCCAACAGTATTCACTTTAGTAACAAATTTTAGTCGAAGCAGTTAATAGGACCTTATGCTTTGTTCTCTCCTATATAAACTGCTTGGCCAAGCTTTTAGAGGAACATTTTTTTGGTCTAAGTGAAGTTTCAGGAAAATGTATTTTGTGAGCATAGCAGTTTATGATTGGCTAAACGATTTGAAACACTGTTGTTGACAAAGGTAAGGATAACGTTTGTGTATATCAAATTCTCTTCGGACTCCATTTGTGAGACTTTAGTGTTTGGTTAAGTGTTACATTACAGAGGGGTATAAAGAATCACTTTATGATTTGTGTTGTTTTTAAATTAATAAATAATCTGAAACATTTATCATGTGAGATTGTAGTTAACTTTTTAATATATTTTTTAAATAAAGTGTTAAGGGGTTCAATTTTTAAATTTTATTTAATAGAATTGTTAAGTTGTAGAGAGATTGTTATTACTGATCCTTGATTCAAAAGTGATGTTATTAAAATAGGATGGTAAAAAAAAAACACAATATTCAAATAGGTACAAATCAAATGAAATACCAGTGAGACGAGAAAAGGTGGGGGTAAGTTAAAGTTATGTCAAGTTCTCTCTAGTCTCCATCTACGAATGACAATGGGGCGGGATAAGGTGGGTGGGTTTAAGGCTATGTGGGGCAGGGCTGGTGGGATGCAGGGTGAGTTGAAGTGAGTTTTTTAAAAACTAATGTGGAG